TGAATCTGGAACAGACGAAACCAGGCTGGAGAAGAATGAAGAAAAGGGACAACCGCTTGCACGCTCGGTGGAGATGGGGGATGTAGCTCATCTGACTCTTGAGCACCAACCTGAGCTGACTATTGGGTCTGATCACAACGCACAGACGACGGCAATATACTGGAGGCGCGTGGCTGATGATTGGTTAAACCAGAATCTCATGGAAAGGCATACAGGTGATATCCCCCGATCGCCTTTTAGATGACCAGAAACCACTGTTAGTGAGCTAATATGAGCCCAACACGGTTAAACATATTCGTATTAGCACCTGTTTTGTGTGAGATGAATATGTCAAGGCCCTAAAGGACCAGCACATGCCCTTGCTCTTGCTGAAACCAAAGCTCGTGGAATCCTTTCGTGACATTGTCGAGTGGCGTCGACTTTCAACCCGGCATACCTCGATAGGAGAAATTTCATCCCCGGGGTTGAGAGACTTGACCATCTGGGAGTGTGAGCGGATCCAACATTCCCCGGCGCATCTGCCAGATGTCCATCCTGTGACCTACGGCCAACGGGCAGCTGGGAATGCGCGCGGACCGAAGTCTTGTTGTGAGAGCCGTCTTGAGCTCGTTACATGAGAACATGACGCCCGCCATGTCAAAGATGGCACAGCACACTGGCCGTTGATCGGTCACAAGGTCTTCAGGGATGATGATACACCCTGGTATGTACAGACGTGCCGTGCTTATTGGCACGGTTGTTCGGAATCAGATCCTGACGCATTAATCAGTCCGATGCATGAAACTTCTGGGGGACATGGAGGCCATGTATAATGTCATGAAGCCTAATGGGATGCATGCTGATAAGGGTAAGAAGACCGTCATGACTGCCGATGTGGAGTTGGGCAAACCTATTGAGTCTCAAGGTCCTCTGACAAGCTCGCAAGTGCGGAAGAGGGCCGCAGAGGCAGAAAAGCAGAGACCAGGGACAGCGGCCGGTGTCGCTGAGATGAACGCGTGGCCCTGAACGACCACACGGGGGGTCTCCACTGGTACTTCTACCATACTCGCCCAACCGACGAGTTTTGCTTCCCGTCGGATCGATTGGAGATACTGCGGTACGGTGTGAACAAATCACCTAAGTACACATTCACGTTGGGCATGGCACTACGTTGCCAGAAGAAGAAGGAACGGCTGTTGTTCATTGTGAACAACACCCCTGGCTCCGCAGTAAGTGCCTCCAGATGTTCCTTCATCTTGGCCTACAAGCTTCACAACTACATCCTGTTGAAGGCCCCGGACAACACAGCAACAGAAATCCAGATGGGTGGCCGCCTGTGGCGCATTGGTCAGTTGCTCATTGCCCGGCCGGTCCGTTCCTTTTCGTCCAGTCCATTCCTCCTTGTCCGGTCTATTGCTCATTGTCCAGTCCACAGTCCAGTGCTCATCATCCGATTTATTTCCGATTATATCAAATATTTTCCTTCAACAGCAGGACTTTGCGACAGGCGGATAGAGTATGAACAGCTGAGAAAAGCCACCGACATCGTCGCAGCGCAGGCGCCAATCGATCGGCGCATCGAGGGCGAACAGCTGACCATCTGCGCCTTCGAGATCATGGCAACATACCTGGGCCATGGTTGCAATCGGTATCCTCGCAAGGGCGCCGAATAGTACGATGACGACAGTCAGAAGATGACAGATCTCGGGGAGCTTTATCCAGCCATTGCGCGGACGATGATCCTAAATCCCGATCTCTTCTGCAACATGACGCCCCTGTTGAGTAGAGCGCTTGCTGTGGGTTCGAAGCCCGGCATGGAGATTTCTCGAGAGATGGTAGCGGGAGAAGCGCCCATCGTACCGATCGAGGACCACGTCGAGCTGGACGGCGAGCCAGGGGTTCTGCCAGAAGTCCACGAGCCGGAGGAGCGGGATGACCGTCGCCGAGCACCGAGCAAGAGGAATACCATCCTGTGTATTGTGGAACTGGGACCACTGGAGGAAGAGGAGACTGTTGAAAGGGAATGCCCTGCTACAGCAGAGGATCCGATGGAGGTAGATGTGGATGAGACGCCGACCAAGGGGCCTGCAAAGCGGAAGAGAGGACATGGAAGGCTTATGCTTAGTAGTGTATTCAGGAGCTAAAGCACTTTATTTATAACATTGAATGATGGGCTCTGTACTGATCCATAGACAACATGATATGTTTTGTCCAGCAGCTCAGAGGATGAGTCGATGAGCATACTTCCCTCTGGAACTTCGGAGTCATATCATAGTATGCTTTGGTGAAAGATGACTGGAATTCCTCTAATATCGAAATTACCATGCCCGTTCCAAGAACTTCCATCGAGTGATCTAGTGGTTTATATACAACATTGACACTAAGCAGGGCTAATAGCACTTGAGATACTACTTACGACTCAATTACCTTCCAGTCTGGAGATGTCCTGGTATGGGGCCAAAGCGCGATGCCTAGATAGAATTCCCGGCACTCGTTATTCCTCTTTTTGCTCCCTTGTTAGGCGCCACAGAACCCAAATCCACCTTTGGATGCATGCGTTTGATGTGGTCGCGCCGGGTGCCCGGGTTGTGAATGGTTTGCTGCTGCGGTTGCAGCCTGAATCATGACATGTCGTCTCCCACGAGTCGTCGTGTGCCGTTGTCTGGTGACTATAGAGGGCGCCATACGACTGATACACTGTGTCGTCATCACCACAGTCGTCGTGAGGGCAGCGACAGTTGCTCCATTTATGCATGTGACCTATACAACAGGCTAGACTGTGTTTGGTGTCGAACTTCTGATCGCATTGCATGCATTCGAGTCGACGATCGGCTATTCCTTCGTTTTGTACCTTGCCTGAATCGCCGTGTTGGGACAGATGAGCCTCAGCCAAGGCAGTGAAAGCATCCATGAGGACATTCGAAAACCCATGGTGTAGGTGTGTCACGGCTGCCACCCGATGGCATCCGCGCCAAGAGGGTGTCAACAGTAGAGCGAGAGGTACAATACCTCAGAGAGATGTTGACTGTGGAAAGAAAGTCGTCAAATGCTGTCGAGTCGCCGACAAGAACCTCGGCGTCAATTGGCTGCTTTTTGGCCAGCTCAACCAGTACCTCGTCCAAGGCGTCTTTATCTTCATCTGTTTCGCCAGCGATCGCATCAATAAGATGGTGCATCTCGACCGTCTCATCCAAGGTCAGGCCATCATCTGCGTCCAGGCTGCCCTCCATGTCGTCGTTTGTTGATCTTTCATGTTGGTCCGGATTAGGGTTCTTTGTTCGGAAGCGTACTTCGTTCTAGTTGCAGCTATACCTACGCCCAGCGGGTCGGCGCTATCC